TCGCACTCTCGCCTGCATTTCGCGCACTCAACACGCACGATCTCCGCAGACGGTTGCGCGCGCAGCCGGCAAATCGCACTCTCGCCTGCATTTCGCGCACTCGACGCGCACGATCTCCGCAGAGGGTTGCGCGCGCAGCCGGCAAATCGCACTCTCGCCTGCATTTCGCGCACTCGACGCGCACGATCTCCGCAGAGGGTTGCGCGCGGACCGGACAAATCGCACTCTCGCCTGCATTTCGCGCACTCGACACGCACGATCTCCGCAGAGGGTTGCACTTTCGGTTGACGCTGTTCGTCCCGCCCTCCGCCTTTAAGAGAGAATTTATAAAGTGGGGAAATGTTTTTTCATTAGGACATCTCCCGTGCTAGTTTTCCATACTCACACTTGCCTACTCATTGCATGAGTCATTGCATGCTTGCATACTCACGCTTGCATATCGATCATGCTTGCATACTTACACTTGCATACTTTGACACTGGCATACTTCGCACTTGGATGCTTTCGCTCTTCCAGTGTGTGTGTGTGTAAGTGCGAGTGTCGAAGTGTAAGTGTCGAAGTGTCAGTGTTCAAAGGATTTTCCGGAAGAACCCTTCGCAATGCTTTCGGGAAATATGGTATATATAGGTTTCTTGAAAATCCCTGATCATAACAGAGCGTCCCTGAGGCCGCCTCTTTGTCCTTTTTGTTTACCCCACAAATCATTTGAGGGCGTCCCTTAGAGTTTTTAACATGTGGATGGTTTACATGTTCAAGAGAAAATATGAGAAACTATTTCCTCGGGGAATAGACCACAAGCATAGGAACACCATGAAACACATAAGAAAAACAACTGAAAAATAACATAGCATTTTCTACGTATTTCCAGCTACTTCTCGCTATGTCTAGCTAAATTCTACTTGATGTCTACTTAAGTTCTATAAGCAACTTATGTTATAAGATGTTATAAGTGAAGTTCGCTTGATGTGCCTCAGCTAGCCTCAAGTGCCAAAACATACAGAAAATACGCTCCGAGCGTTAATGGCCTCTGAAGGAGGTGTATAAGAATGGGGAGTGTCATCGCTCTACGAAAGAGCGGTCTGGTCAAACATTTCCAGGTTAGTAGATGAGGGTGCTTTATTTACCAATTATTGAAGTCAAAATCTTTGCCAATGATGGTCAGTTCGTCTTGTTGACAAATGTCCCTGAAATCTGAGTCACCTCCCAAGAGACAGCTGAAACAGTCCCCTCCCCAGGCCCCAGTCAGAAAAACAAGTTGTGAATGTGCACCCGCACATTGCCGACTCGTCAGGTTCGCAAGCATGAAAACCATGCACCTTTTCCACTGGTGCCTCCTTTGGCACAAACCGCCCTTGGAAGATCGGGTGGGCTTCGTCATGACGCCATGAGCACCGGCTGCGCTGGCCGCGAAAAGGGCGCGGCATTCCTCGAGATCCTTTCGTTTGTTTGAAGCACACCTCGTGCGGTGTTTCAAGTTGGTTGCTACCATCAAACTGGTAGCGGAGCCCACGGGCTCGAGCTCCATACGCTACCTGCGCCGACACTTCGAGATCGCCTCCCTCGATTACAAGATCGATGGCTACATCCTCGACGAGCACGACAGATGCTGCCAAGGACAGCTGGGTCCCTCAGTTCTCCAACAGGCCTGCCGACTACCGAGAATGGCGGGCAAGGATCCACCTGTACCAAAAGAAGATGGTGATTCAGAAAAAGCCCTTGGAAGGTGTGATCAACATCGTCACCAACCTCACCGGCATCGCTTGGAAGCAGATCGAACCGATCGCTGAGTCCATCAGCGATGACAAGGACAAAGGCTTCAATCGTCTCATCGAAGCATTGGATCGTACGTTCAAGTACGATGAACGTGTGGAACAACCACGAGCTTTCGAGAAGTTCTTCTACTCCCTCAGCCGACGAGGAGAACAAACGTTGATGTCCTACTGCACGGAACACCGTGAGTGTTTGCGAGAAGTGGAGAAACACAACATCCGCTTGCCAAAAGAAGTCACTGGCTGGGTCCTCCTTCGACGAAGTGGACTGACCCAGGAACAGAAACAATTGGTTCAGTCACAATGTGGCCCAACCCTTGAAGAGGACAAGGTGGAACAAGCCATGTACTACCTGTTCGGCCAGGACTACCGTGGCAGAGTTGGCTACAGCCATCTTCAAAGGCCCACTGGCCGTGGAAAAGGAAACAGCCGCTGGAAGAAACCTCAGACAGCATGCACTGCCTATGACCTCCCGGAAAGCTATGACGACCAGACCGAGGAGCTCTACGAGGCAGCTGAGGATGAAGAGTATGACGGTGCCTACTATGAGGACGATCCTATGGAAGAGGAAGGTCT